CTGGGTGTCCAAAATGCTAGGAAACATAGGCTAAGCTCATTTTAAAATAGTATGTTAAGTTTTCAAATAATAGGCTCAATTGATTTTTATCCTCTGAATACCTTTTCAGGTGAAGTCATTCTAAATTTAAAGCAATATATCCAGCTATTAATCTGGAAAATAAATGTTCCATTTGTCCTTTGTTTCCCTGACTTTCCAATTGAGATAGGATATATGAATTACTTTGTTTGCTCATATACAGATGACTTGGAAAGTAACTGAATCTTACATTGACGATGCAGGGTGATTGTTGGGAGAACCTGCTATTGTGCTGTTCAGTTGTATGGATGTGATTTGACTCCTGTGCTGTCACTGCATTCTAAGCAGTTTGGGTTTTGGATTTTTTCTGTATGTGTGTTTGCTTTTCATAGTTTCTATTTTGCTCTCAGGCTTTCAACTGCCACTTTTTATTAACATCACTTTGCTTAATTCCTGCATCCCGTTCTCACTGTCCCTCTAATTAGTTGCTTCTAATCTGCATAGGAAATCAGATAAGTAAGCTTGCTAGATTTGTTTCCAGTTGGGAAGTAAGAACACTGAGTAGGACGCTTAGAGCTCAGTTTTAAGAATCCTACATGGGCTGCTCAGTGTGCCCTTTCTCCTTCCCTTCCTTGAGAGCCATTTCCATACAGACACTCAACGAAAGGTGAGCTTGCCACTGCAGTTTGATTACAGTGCACTGTTGCGTGACATCTTCAGTCAGTTTGGGCAAGTAATAATTAACTTTTAAAAATATATGCTCTGAGCGGGCAGAAACAGAACCACTTCCGTTTTCTCCGTGCCTTCCCTGTGTGTGCTTCCCTCCCCAGCAGTTTTCCTGTGTGGCATCTGGCACAGCAGCGTGTATCATAACTGTGGTTTCTCTGGCCTCCAGGTTATTTCCCATGGCATGAGAATGTAAGAAGAATGAAAAATTTTTATTTTTGCTTTAAGCAAGCAATCATCTTTTATAGAAATGAAAATATGAGAAGAATAAAGAATAAATGAAATGAGGAGAAAGTCTTATATTTATCTACATACTTGCTATCTCTACTGCTCTTCATTTCTTTTTGTAAAAACCAAGTCTCTAACTGGTATCATTTTCCTTTCGCCTGAAGATCTTCCTGTAACATTTCTTGGAGGGTAGATATGATGGTGACAAATTCTTTTTTCATTTGTTTGAATAAGTTTTTATTTTGCCTTTATTCTTCAGAGGTATTTTTATTGGATATAGAATTCTGGGTTAACATTTTCACCATTTTCAAGATGTCATTCCACTATCTTCTGGTTTACAGGGTTTCTGATGAAGTCCATTGTCATTTTTGTGTTTGTTTCTTTGTATGTAATGTGTCTTTTTTCCCTCTGGCTGCTTTTCTCTGATTTTATGCAATTTGGTTATGATGTACCTCAGTGTGCTTTTCTTTGTGTGTGTCTTACTTGGGAGTTGTTCAGCTTTTCGGATCTGTAGATTCCATCAAATTTGGAAAAGTTTTGGCCACCATTTCTTCCATATTGTTCTGTCCATCCGCTTCTCCCCCTTTATCCTGCTGGCAATGCAGTTTCATGTGTGTTCAACTGCTTGATATTATCCCACAGGTCTCTAAGCTTCTATTTCTTTTACTATTTTTTTCAGCGTTTCTATGCTTATTTTGGGATAAATTCTATTGCTTTTAAGTTCCCTGATTATTTTTTTCCTGTAGTGTCTAATCTTTCAAGTCTAATTTCAATCCTAGTGTCTAATCATTCAATTTTTATTTCAGATGTTGTGTTTTCTTAAAATCTAGAAGTTGCATTTGATCCTTTCTAAAATCTTCCTTTTCTCTTATTAATGTTGGTGTGTTCCTTTAATACTGAACATAGTTATAATAGTAGTTTTAATGTTCTTGTCTCTGTGATTTCTTAGTTGTTTACTATTTTCTGATTCCCCCCCCCCCCCGATTATGGACCACATTTTCTTGCTTCTTATCATATTCAGGAATTTTTGATTAGACCCTGTATATTGTGAATATTATGTTATTGAGTGTCTGAATTTTGTTACGTTCTTCTAAAGAATGTTATGCTTTGTTTTGGCAGAGCTGTTAAATTAATTTGTGGATCTGCCTAATCCCCTTCAGGCCTGTTTTTAAGGTCTTATGGGGCAGGTTTAGTCTAACCTTCACTCTGGGAATATTCAACCCTAATACTAAGACCTGACCTTTCTGAAGTCACCATTAAATGCCTTGGGTGAGTCATTGAGAACATTCCACTTTGGCTGTTTGGAGCTTGAATGTCTTCCTACTTTGTGTGAACTTTAAGAATTGTTCAGTTTATACCTTCCTGGTCATTTTTTGTGGAAATTTACCCACACATACAAGGCCTAGAACTTAGCACATTTCTGGAGCTCTCTTTCTGTGTAGCTTCCTTTTTGCTAAACTCCATTCTGTTATTTCTAGCACCCTTAGTCCCCTGAACTCTGTTCTTTATTGTCTCAACTTACCAAGGCTACCAGGTCTAATTTGGGTTCCCTTTCCTTATATTTGGTGGCCTGAAAATTGTCTCTAGGCAGAGGGTTGAGGTGATTGTATAGCTCACCTTGCTTCTTTCTCATCTTTCAGGTATCAGAGTTCTGCACTGCCTATGTCTAACGTCTGCAAGTAGTTGTTTAATATATTGTGTCAGGTTTTCTAGCTATTTACTACAAGAGGTTAAGTCTGGTCCTTGCTATTTTATCATTGCTGCAAGCAAAAGTTCCAGAAATTTCATTGAAATTGGTCCCTTGAAAATAATTCTTAGCAACTGGATACAGTTCTAAATGACATGCCTGCACATGTTAGAAGGCTGAAGTAAATAATTTACATGAGTTTTTGAGTGAACCATAATAGTATCCTTACATCCCTTATTCATTTTTTTTACCCTTCCCACAGACTGGAACTGTTCCTGCCTTAAAGCAGAATAATGATTGTGGTTTTTCAGCATAATTGAATAATGACAGCAATTTGGGTGCTCTTGGAGCTTCCCAAAGGACAGATAGACTGAGCTCAGTCTTTGTTGCTGCTAATGCTGGCATTGCTCAGTGGGTGACCTCTCCTTTGGGCTGTTCTTGTTCTTTACATTAGACTTAAATTTTACTCTTAGGAAGACCTTTATGAACTTGCTCTGCAGTTCATGAATTATTTTCTGAATCAAAATGGGAAGTCTGTGCTAATAGAACGCTCACTGCACATCTGAATCAGTAAAAAAAATTGATGTGTGAATTGAAAGAAGCATCTTGAAACACGTGGCATGATAAGACAATCTGGGAGATTTAAAGGCATGTTGAAAGAAGCTAATTTGCATAAGGACATGGATTTGTAAGGTTGTTCTCGACACACACCCCCCGCCCCTAAATAAACTAAGCCATGTAATTTGAAGTGCATTGTTGGTGAATTTTAAGGAGCGCTGGAAGCATTGGGGTCCTGAGTAGATACAAGACTTAGCTGTTGATAGTTTAGCCAAGAAGCAGTCAGATTAAGGAAAACAGGGTAGTGTTTGTATCTGTTTTGTGGTTTATAATTATTTACGTCAAACCTATTGGTAAAGATCTAATGCCTTTTTTCAGAAGTCATGAATATTGCCAGGTATAGATGTTTATTTTCTTTTTTGTTTTTGATTACTCTGAGTTCTTTGTTTAGCCTCCTGAATGACTCACACTTGCTACATAAATCCTTGATACTTGATACATAAGCTTTAATTTCATGTCATTAAAATGTTGTTTATAAATATATTGATTTTTAAGAACCCAGAGATATTTTTTTTAATTTTAAATGCAACTTTAGGAGTATTGACTGGATCCACTGCTGTTTAGAAAATTTAAAAGTTAATGAACTTATGAAAAAATATTCAACTTCACTAAAAGAAAAATGGATCAAAGAAGAAGCATTATTTTTCTTCTTCTATGATGCATTTTTCTTCACCTGCCAAATTGGTTGAAGTTTAAAAATTACACTGTTCAGTGTTGGCAAGGGTGTGGCAAGATGGGTACTTGTTTGAAGTTCCAAGAAAAATGTACATTTACATAACCTTTCTGAAAGTAAATGTGGCAGTATACATTAAGCACTTTTATACTCTTTGACTCAGTAATATTATTTCTAGGCATTTCTTTCTTAAAATTATTTGAAATTCGAACAAAAAATGCATGTAGGAAGGTGTTTGTTACAGTATTATTTCTAATGGGGTGGTATTGGAAACACCCCAAATGTCTCCAATGAGTGTTTCACTTGGAACATTTTCTAATTATGAAGTACCATACAACTATTAAAATGGTGTTTATGAAAAATATTTCATCACAAAGGACAAATTTACATATTTGAAGTAAGCAATATTCCAAAATGATATATAGTCTCACTTTGGCTATTATTAAAATATGCCGGGCAGGGGCAGTGGCTCACACCTACAACCCAGCACTTTTGGAGGCCGAGGTGGGAGGATCAGTTCAGGCCAGGAGTTCAAGACCAGTCTGGGCAATGTAGCAAGACCCTGTCTCCACAAAAAAGAGAAAAATGAGCGAGGTGTGGTGACATGTGCCTGTAGTCCCAGCAACTCAGAGGCTGAGGTGGGAGGATTGCTTGAGCCTAGGAGTTTGAGGCTGCAGTGAGGTATGATGATACCACTGCACTCTAGCCTGGGCGACAGAGTGAGACCCTGTCTCTTAAAAAAAAAAAATGCATGAAAGAATGGTCAGAAATATTCCAAAATGTTAAAGTAAATGTTTCTAGGTGATGGTTTATGAGAGATTGCTGTCTTCTTCATATTTTCTCTTTTCCAAAATTGGAGTGGGGGAAAGCATTCTGGATATGTGAAAGCAAGCGTGATCTGGATTTACAGAGGCTTTCCAGACCCTAGACAGGTACCTCAGATTTCAAAAGAGCAGGCAAACCACTCTTCTCTAAGATTAGTTGTTGTCTTATGTTCAGGTGAAAAAGTACTTTAAGAAAAACCCTGTAATTTCTGTGCTTCCTGTTTAGATAAAAATTTTGATGATGAAGATTCTGTGGATGGTAATAGACCTTCCTCTGCTAGTTCTACATCATCCAAGGCTCCACCGAGCTCACGGAGAAATGTTGGAATGGGGACCACCCGCCGGCTTGGATCATCCTCTCTTGGATCCAAGTCTTCAGGTGAGTCCAAGCCCTGGGTGATTTCTGGGATCAGCTGTGCCAGCTTTTCAAACCCAGGGGTGAAGGGTTCCCTATCATGTCCCTCAGAAGGGATATAATCCCTGTATGCAGCACATCTCTGCTTGCTGTTCTTTAATTGAATTAGCACTGCTATGTCAACGCTAATAAACTGGTAAGGATGTAAGTTTGAGCTGCGGTGTTGACCGTTGCCACATTGTGGCAAGGCAGAGACCGTAGGAGAGTGAAGCCAACCCAGAGGAAAGCATGGCTCAGAAATAAAGAGCGAGAGCTCGCCCTGATGGCATTATTCGGTTATCTGGATCTAGCAGTGCCAGAAACCGCCATGGAACTGGGAATAATCCAGAAGTCAGATTGTGTCTTCTGTCTTTAAAATATATTTTGTTCTTACGAGTAACATTGCTCCTTGTGAGACCGGTATGGATGTTGAATTAAATAAATGGTGGGGGATTAGCTCTCTGAAGCTTTGAAAATTGCTTTACAAAGATTTCTCCCCCAAATCCCTCCTTTCCCACCCTCCCAATCTAGACAACTTGTCGTTATATACAACTCTTATTTTGGTATCAAATTTTAAATTTACATGCAAATTTCCTACTTTTCACCTCCGAAAAATTGTATAGCTGCTCCTTTTAGGAGCATTTAGCATTGGGCTTTTGAGCTGCTGCTGGTAGTTGGGGGGATTCCTATGAGCCAAAAAACCAAAGCCGAATGGGCTTACGTGAAAGCCGCTCTGAGGATGAGCATTATTAATAGAGTGCTGTCTCCCGATGGTGCTCTCTCCTGAATGCTGAACTGGCACTACAGGATTGGTATCTTGACTAGCCTTGCTTGGCGCCAGTACACCTCCTGACCCATAGAGTTGCTGCGCTGCCAACTGCAGGAAGTGAAGTTCATGGCAGGGATGGCAGAGGAGAAGCATTGCTTTGCTTCTTATGTTAGTTGTTATTCTTCTTAGTTCTTTCTAATCTTTTTGTAGTGCATTTTAAAAATTTTTATTTTTTGTTATTGAGCTTAAATTCACGTAACATAAAATTAATCATTTTAAAGAAAACATTTTTAATGTTTCACCTACCTTGTAACATGTATCAGTACTTCATTCCTTTTAATGGCTGAATAATCTTTTTCATCTTTTTTCTTAATGTATTCTTGGGCATTTATCAGTTCCACAGACAAGACTTAGAAAATTTCTGCATAATCAAACCTCTGCTTTCCTTCCCATCCCCCACCAATACCCTTTCCAGAAAGTCGTCCCCCGCCGCCCCTCCCCCCGTAGATTATGCAGAAATGTCAGCCCTGTCTTTCCTTTCGGCCCTGCCCTCATTCTTTTTTTTTTTTTTTTTTTTTTTTTTATTTCAGCATATTATGGGTGTACATATGTTTAGGTTACGTGTGTTGCCCTTGGTTCCCCCCCCACCGAAGTCCGTGTTTCAAATATGTCCATTTTTCGGGTAGTGTGCATTGCACTCCTTGTGTATACAAATACCCGTCCCCTCCTCCCTCCTCCCCCCTCCTCCCGCCGCCCTTCCCGTGGTACAGATGATTAGGTTAGGTGTGTTGCCCTTGGTTCCCCCCCCACCGAAGTCTGTGTTTCAATTATGTCCATCCTTCGGGTAGTGCGCATTACCCTCCTTGTGTATGGTCTTTTTCCATTTTGTTTAACACTGTAGTCATGACTTTCCTGGTGGACTCTTCCTTGTCACATTCCTTGGGCTCAGGGACTATTGTTGGTCTTTGAGTCCTCTTAGGTATATGGGTGCATGGTGCAGTGCCTTACGTATAGGACCCATTCAGGGCCTATCTGCTCAGTGGGATCCAATCCTTGTGCTAAAATAGGCACACAGCACCACATCACAGTGGGTGGCTATCATCCCTTTACAGTTAGCTTGTCAACGCAGTGTTAGTAATCTTCATCAAGAATGATGGCATACATTTACTGCTACCTGCATTGTCTTTAAAACCCTTTTCTGTCTAGGCAGTCTGTCAGGACCCCTAATACCACAAACATATCTGGGAAGATGCTCTTAGAAAAGTATTCAGACTAATCAATGTAAATCATCAATGGGGCTACAAGGATGACCGTAGATGCCAACTGTTTTTTTTTTTTTTTTTACATACACCCACTGTGGTAGACACCAATTTTGAAAGCATTATTATGTAAAAAAACATCTGATAAAGCATCACCTGATTTTCATGCATGGAGCTCATATTAGCTAAAAGAGATAGTTTTTTCCAAATGATAGCAGTTAACTTTTAAATACACAAAGCATCTTAGGATAACTTTGTAGGGGAAACTTGTAACTGATGCTTAAATGAAAAATTGACATAATATCATGAATTCAAGAAAATGGAGATGTTTTGAAACTAATATAAAATTGCAATGAAACTGTTAAAATTCTTTAGAACTTTTTTGAACTATTTCACATATTTGTTATACAGGACTCCCAATAATAACATAGTGTAATTCCCTGAAGAATTAAATTTTATATATATTTATTAGAAATCTTTCAAAAGATTTGTATATTAATACAATATAAAGCATCTAAATCTTTTAACACCTAGACTCTGCCTGCTTAAACAAGCAGTCTCTCTAAGTGACCTTAAGCTAATGTGTATAGCATGGTAGAATTACTATACTTCAACTTTAATCAGTAATGTTTGTCAATTTCACGACACTCCAAATTTATATGAAGCCTTTAAGAAAGTAGTTGTAAATCTTCCAAAATGCAATTTTGATTATGTATTTTCAGACTTCTCCAATGTACATTTTATACATAGTTGATTGCATTGTTTATGTTTTAAAAATTAATATTTTTTACAGCTGCAAAAGAAGGAGCTGGTGCTGTCGATGAAGAAGACTTTATTAAAGCATTTGATGATGTACCTGTAGTGCAGGTGAATGAGAATGTTTGTGTGTGATTAAAAACAGGTAGACTTATTCTTCCAGTTTCATTTTTCAAATATGTCATATGCACAGTTCTTTACTAGGTCAGGTAATTTTAACTATAAAGACTACAGGAGATCTGCGGTACAGACTAGAAAATGTTGGGGCAAAAGTCAAGGACCAAGATGATCTTTCAGTGAGAACAGGAGAGATGTGGTTGCTCTAGTATTAAGTTTGTGGGACAGGTGACATAAAAGAGAAAGAAATAGACGATTAGGCTAAATGAGAGGATAAATAAGCATGTTTACTTAGGGATTTTTCTTAGGAAAAATCAGTGAATTTGAAGGATTTTGGTATCTGAAAAGCAATAGAGAATGGTTTAATAAAAGTTAGTTTATACCTTCTTTGATGCTTCACTTTAAGTATTAAATACCTAACAGATAAAACAAAGATTATTTATAAAGCTTGGGATAGTCACACGTTTTTGACTACTTTGTGCTGCCAATTGGGGCTAACACTTTTTCTCAGCCTATGTTGACTGTACTTTGGAACGCTTTATCACTTACTGTTCATTATTTACAACTCTTCTTGCCACCTTGGTTGCCATATGTGTATAAAGCAGGTAATAAGCATCTTAGGCCCAGGTTCATCCTTAAGCACCTTGATGCACCTTCCAGCATGCATCATGATTGGTTTTACCCTACCTGTTTTATAAGTAAGATATAGGGATAAAAGAGAATGTAGATTTGGAAGTATTTAAAATTATACTTATAATGTGATGTTATAAATAATAGTGAGAGTAATAAATGACTTATGCATCATTATTTTCCACTAGGCTTCTTTCTCTTTTGTACATGAGGTCATCTAAGTTTATAATGAAGCTGTATTTGAGGCAAGGTTATTCACACGTGGCAGGAAATCCAGTGGGTACGCATTCACAATGGGAAAGAAGCTCACTCCTAAGACATTTTCTAGATATTTTCTCATAGGTGTTTCTTGAAAATGAGATAATTTATTTTACTATACTTACTAAATGCTCTTGACTCATGTAAATAAGAAGTAGTCTTTGTTTATTCTGCAAATGTTTTTATATTGATTGTAAATTAATTTTGCTTACAGATTTATTCCAGCCGAGACCTTGAGGAATCCATAAACAAAATTAGGGAAATATTATCTGATGACAAGCATGATTGGGAGCAGAGAGTAAATGCTGTAAGTTGTTGACTTCATGTGATTGCATTTTCATTAGATTTATTTAAATATCCCAAATACTTTATTATGAAATTGGGAGATAGTGCTATTGAATTTTAAATAGTACATATTTTAAATATAAATTACACTTTACCTTTTTAGTAGAGTATCTCACTTCTATTTTTATTTTTAAAACATATCAACTAAAACAAACAAACAAAAACACTCACAACATACCAATTTATACCTTTATGTATCTCCTATTCTTTTAACAAAGACCTAATGTAGAATGATGATGGCCTCCACGCTTCCCTTCCCTTGCTAAAGATTTACTTCTGTGATGATTTGCTAGTAAAACAGTGTTTTAATGGCATTTTTAGTGTCCATCCCTCAATATTCTTTTCTTTCTTCAAATCACTTGCTAGAAAGTTGTGTCTCTTCTATTTTTAAAAGTAGATTAAGGAAAAGTGGGCTGAACGATAATGCGAGGATGGGTCTTATCTGAGGAAAGCTATTTTACATTGGCCAGCAAGAAGAGAGATGGTAAAATTGCTGTTGTGTAATGTTTCTAATTCAGATTAGCCAGTTAATGAATGATGCAGTGGAGGATAATATAGAAATACTGCAGGAATGCTTGATTTGATTCATTAAGTAAGTGCTAAGTTGGAGTGGGGTGTGAAGGAAGGTGAGCTTAGGAGGGGCTTTTTACAAGCCATAAGGAAGGTTTTCAATTATTTATCACTAGTATCATAGAATCTATAAATACACTAAGATATTTTCAGTTAAAGAAAACATTTTTTGTGGAAATTATGTGTGTCACAAATCCTGCATTTTAAAAATTAGCTGGCTTTATTTGCGATACGTAGATTTGCTCATTGTATTAGCTGATATTTAACTGGCTGAATTGGGAAAACTTTCTATATCAGTGAATCTTTAATGTTGATCTCTTTTATATTTGATGGTTTCTATTGTTTTGTTTATTCTGTGTAAGAATTGTTTTGTGTATCTCTGAATTTTCTCTATCCCATTAGCTAAAAAAGATTAGATCTTTACTTTTGGCTGGTGCCGCTGAGTATGATAACTTCTTTCAACATTTACGTCTTTTGGATGGAGCCTTTAAACTCTCTGCTAAGGATCTGCGGTCTCAGGTAGTGCGGGAGGCTTGTATCACGTTGGGGTAAGGACTGTGATGTTTCCTATTCTCAAACATACACTATAAAATAGTCTTACCGTGGAGCTTCAAAGATGTTCCTTGAGCATGTGAACTGAGTCTCTTTTGTGTAACTTTTGACTAGTCTCCAAGACCCTTTCCAGTTAACAATTCTTTCAGTACTTCTATAATATTTTCTGCCCAATTATGTAAAGTGTGACAGATTTTAAATTTTATTTTATTCAGTGACGTTGCTCTGAAGCCTCTGTATTAAACTGAAGCAGTTATGTAATATAATAATATGGAAAAATGAACTTTTATAAAATTGTGTTTCTGAGATTTTTTCATTGATTTTTGCTGGCAGGGTATAGTGTGATTATCAGAATGATTTTTCTAGAAGAGTACTATAGCTATAAAATTAAAGACATGTACTGCAGTGAAATTTTATTGTAGCTACACCTGTATCAGTGATCAAAGTTCAAACTTGTGTTAGAATGTATGTCAGAAAGTCAAAGAACCAGCAGCAGTAAGGAGGCCTCATAGCTGTTTAATGTTTTGGCTGTAGTCAGATATTGAAGCCTGAATATGTTAAAGATAAAAGGGCATAAGAAAAAAAGGGCCAAGGGAGCCTTTTCAGATTTATATTTTATTAATATATGGTGAATTTGTTTGTTTTTTACTGTTTTACTATTTTAGTTAGAAATGATTAAGAAAAATCTTCTGGGCTAATGACTATTTGCCAAGTGCTCTCTACATGCACATTAGAAATAGTTTTATCGTGTCTTACTTAGACCCTGTCCTTTATCCCTAGATAACTTTAAATGAAGGCTCTAAAATGTTAAGTGGTTTATATGCTTCACTGTTTCTAAAAAAATGTAACTACAGTCTAGTATTCATTTCTTATTGTAGGCATTTGTCATCAGTTCTGGGGAATAAGTTTGACCATGGAGCTGAAGCCATCATGCCAACTATCTTTAATTTAATTCCAAACAGTGCCAAAATTATGGCCACTTCTGGTGTTGTAGCTGTTAGGTTAATTATTCGGGTAAGTATGTTGTAGGACCATATGTAAAATAAGCAAATGGTAAATTTTGAAGGTTGATAAGAAATATTAGAGGCATTTAAAAAAAAAATGTAAATAGAGAGTTTATTTGGGCCAAGTTTGAGGACTGCAGCCCAGGAGTATAGACTCAAGTTTCCCTGAGTATGTGCTCCCACATTTTTCATCAGAGTAATTATATACAGTTGGAATCATGTCGTACATATAGTATCATCTTTTCCCACATTTAGTTATAACATACAAGTTTTTATAATTCGTAATGTGAATTGTGGATGTGATATAAAGTTACTGAGGTGTTGATCATTGACTCACCATTGGTTTTAAATATTCGAACACCTGTGTCTGCTTCTGAGTTTATATTCTATTCATGTCTCTCAGATACTACTCTATTCTTGCCTCCTTAATCCTGGTCCTTGCATTTTAGGCATTTGTGCTTGTGGTTTTGCTATTCAGCCAAAACTTTTATTTAATTAATTGCACGTAAACACAGAAACAAAATGTTCTCTTTAGTTAAGTTTTCCAGGCACTTACTCATTTAAATTTAAATAATTATTCAAGTAATTTATAAACAGGTTTTCAACAAAACCTAATAGTTCACAAGGGTTTAAAATGAAAATTTTCCACATTACCTCCTCCTGTCCCCCTACCTCCACCCCCACCCTCACCCTTCAAGACCTTTTTCCCCCCGGAGGCAACTCTTGAAACTTTGGAGCTTGATGGTGTTGCTTAAAATCTATCCAGAATGTTCTTGATTATTATAGGTTACTTTGTATTATTTTTAGTTCTTGCTGTTCTTACTTGCACTGCCCAGATATTAAACTCGAAGTCATTTTTGGACATTTCCATTGAAACAGTATCAAAGTATATTGGTCAATGACTACTTTTGAGTTCACTCAGATTTCTACTGCTCAGATAATTTAGACTTCATACCAACGATTGTTTTAATTTCAAACTTACCATGTTTGCCTGCTCTTGACTCTATAAATTTTCTAATGGCCTTTAGCAAATCTCGTGAAATTCTTTTTCCTTTTTAAACTCACTGACATTCCAATCTGGATATATATGTGCTGTAAGTAGGTTAGTAAGGAAGTGACTTTTAGTTTTGTTTTGCTTTGTATTTGCAAGTGTTCACCTCTGTTTTTTTTTTTTTTTTTTCCTTTACAGCACACACACATCCCTAGGCTAATACCTGTCATAACAAGCAACTGTACATCTAAGTCTGTTGCAGTTAGAAGGTAAATTTGTAAAGGGTTGCCTCATTACCTTTGAATTGTTTAAAAGCCAAAACAAATTCTAAATCTCCCTCCATGGATAAAATTTCATGTTTGAAATGTTTAATATTATATAAGATCAATGCAATAAGTGCCTTAGGGTTGAAGAATCAATATCTAAATGTTTTGGAAAATGAATTTGGACAACCTCTATTATGTTTCTGTGTGTGTGTATTTGTGTGTATGTGTGTGTGAGAGAGAGAGAAGCTGTTTGTGTGTATGAGAGAAAGGGAGTTGAGTTTAGGGGGAGTGGTAGAAGAAAAAGGGTAGAGCACCCCCTATATATTTTTCCTAAGATGGTCCTCCTATCTATGTCATTGGTCTGCGCTCTTGACAGTGAAGGCAGTGACTATGTGCAGGAAAAAATACCATAAACAAATGACAGTGATTTCATATTAACATAGGTAAGAGGAGGTATGTGTTGTTTCCATCTTCTGTGAGTGATTTCTGGAATTCTGAATCCTGACCAGTCACTTGCTTCTGCTGCACAATTATGGGAGATACACCCAGAAGCTGCTACAGGCAGATACCACCTGAGCAACCAGATAGGCCTTTGTTCCCAAGTCCCTGTCTGGTCATACATCCTGGTGAACTTGCCTTAAACTACATGTGAGGAACAAGGACTATTCTTTTAGCTCAGATCTGTGATTCTTGACTGTTGGGTCATAGAGTTTTAAGAGTCTGTTAAAATCTATGGACCCTCTTGCCAGCAAAATGTAAATACACAGAATAGTTTTGTGTAGGTTTTCAGGGATTTCGTAGACAACACAAAAGCCTCTAAATGGACCCTATCAGGGGCCTAGTAGGGTAAATTAATGGCAGGCCTGGGCAGCCTCTTGGCCCCGTTCCCTCAGCTCCTTGTCTTGATCCTAGCCCACTGAGAGAGTCCGTGACCCGAGGCTTAGAATCCAGGTGGCCTTAGCTGCCTGTGTGCCTCCTTTCTTAGGGTGTCACATTGGTCCTGCCAGGCTTCTACGGGTATGGGAGCTTTTTAAGCATGAAGCAGCCCTGTGTTCATCTTTTTTTAAAATTTATTTTGTTAATCGACCAGGGAAAATTGTATGTATTTATGGTGTACAATGTTGATATATGTATACACTGTGGGATGGCTAAATCAAGCTATTTAACAAATGCATTACCTCAAATACTTATCAGGGTGAAAACACTTAAAATCTAGTCTCGGCAGTTTTCAAGTATACTACAGTATGTTGTTATTAACTATAGTCACCATGATATGAATAGATCTCTTGAACGTCTTCCTCCTGTCTAACTGAAATTTTGTGTCTTCCCTAATCCTCCAGTCCCCTAGTCCCTGGGAACCACCATTCTCCTCTCTGCTTTTATGAGTTCAACTTTGTTAGATTGCACATATAAGTGAGGTCACGCGGTATTTGTCTTTATGGTGCCTGGCTTGTTTCACTTAGCGTAATGTCCTCCAGGTTCATCTGTGTTGTCTTATATGACAGGATTTCTTTCCTTTTTAAGGTTGAATAGTATTCCATTGCGTAGATATATCACATTTTTTAAATCCATTCATCTGTTGATGGACAGGACACTTAGGTTGATTTCCTGTCTTGACTGTTGTGAGTAGTGCTACAGTAAACATGGGAGTGCAGATACCTCTTCAACATACTGATTTCATATCCTTTGGATATAAACCCAGTAGTGGGATTTATAGCCATATTATTAATAGCTGAATGAAGGACAAGAGAAAGAAAAGAGGAATAATTTAACTATCTAAAGCCATGAAAGAAGAAATTTATTCCTTCCACTGAAAAAGCATAATTTCTAACTGTGTGGCCCAATTGCATATCCCTGAAGAATGCACTCTGCCCTTGACCTACAGTTCATTCAGCTTCTCCCTGGGTTAGAGTGGAGCAGTTTCGGCTCCCAAGGTAGAGGGATGATTATGAACTTCAGAACCTGACACACTTCAGTTGAACAACATTATCTCTTCCCACTTACTGATTACTTGACCCATAAAGTATAAGAGTACCCCTCTGTAGGGTTCTGAGTATTCACAGTCAGGTTAAAGGACCCTGGCACTTAGGGAAAGCTTAATAAATGGTAACCATTATTAGAATTTGTTGTTGCTGCTGCTGCTCTTATTATCATGTCACTATTGTTTTAAGTTTCCAAGAGAAATTCAGAAGGTGTTTTTTCTTTGTGTGAGGCAGAGCTTCTCCAGTGAGATGACAAAGCTTCCACTTTGTTGTGGAACATTGCAGGATGTTTGGGGGATTAGTCAGCTTGGGCTGCCATAACAGTACCGTAGACTGGGTGGCATAAACAACAGAGATGTATTTCTCACAGTTCTGGAGGCTGGAAGTTCGAGATCAGGGTGCCAGCAAGGTCCGGATTCTGGTGAGGGCTCTCTTCCTGGCTTGCAGATGTTTGCCTTCTGTTTATGTCCTCACGTGAAGAGAGACAGGGAGGAGGGAGGGAGAGTGCAAACTACCTGTTGTCTCTCTTTTTATAAGGGCACTGATCCCATCACAGGGGCCTGCTCTGCCATGACCTAATCCAAACCTTATTACCTCTCACAGGCCTTACCTCCAAATAATCGTTACATTGGGAGTGAAGGCTTCAACATGTTAATTAGGAGGAGAGAGACAAAGTTTATCTATAGCATTTAGCAATTCTGGCCCTTGTTACTAAATATGAGTAGCAATCTATAGTCACTGTGACAATAGAAATGCTGCCCCTCACCAATTATGAACCCCACCCCCAGATCGCTGTTTCTGTATTTAGTCAGTGAATACCAGTCAGAACCATGTGTCTTAATGCCGAAAGAAGTAATAGGGACCATCTTGCCCAGTCCTTCTGCCTTCAACAGGGCAATGTAACCAAGGCAGTGCAGTTTTGCTGTGTGCACTCCACTGAGCTTTGCTTTGTAGAATTCGTAAGAAGTGGATTACACACACTCTCTGGTTTTAGGAAGCTTACAGTTTGGTTGGGGAGATGAAAAACAGTAACGCAAAGCACTGTAAGAGTGAGTGACAACATACTTATTTGGAATTATGAGTCCAGACGGGGTGGTGATTAAAGCCGGTGGATATATTCCCAAGAAACTTCATAGATGAGTTGAAAGTGAGTGACGTCCTGAAAGATGAGCAAGTATAGGGGAAGAAAAGAGGGAAGAAAAATCTAGACTAGGAAGTGGCATGGGCAAGAGGATGGAAGAAGAATAAACATGGCCTAGATTGGGGAAGGTGACAGTAAGGAACGCGTGCAGTATAGCTAGGTGTCCTTTCCTTTGAGAAACCTTGCTTTACCACCCCGGCCCCGACTGCTGCCAGTGCCAGGACCAAGCTGCATGGCGTTTGTCCCCTGCACTCCTAGCACACTGTAACTGTTTCTTGTCTCTCTTGTTCTCTGGACTGTGTCTTGGTTATCATTGTATCCCCGGCATATAGCATAGGGTAAGGGGCTATTAAAGATTTATCGCTTTGTTAATTATATGGATCATAAGGTTGCAAATTGGGAAGACCATGGGGAAGAAAGTCTGGTCATTGCTCTAGAGAAGAATTACCTTCTGATTTGTTTCCTTGAATGGGTTCCTAGGACTACTAAGATTTACTCCAACAAAAATAGGAACCCTGGACTTAGGAAAAGAAAATTTTAAAGAGGTGGGACCCAAAGTGGTGATGCAGTCCAAAGGAAATTAGACTAGAATCGTTTTTGTGCACAAATCAGACCAAGAAAAATCATAAAAGCGAACAGACTTGGAAAGGAAGGATGTGGAAAGATCGAAGGGAGGAAAGCAGCTGAGTGGCTGGAGAAAATGCACTCTCAGCACAAGCCTAGGCCTTCTTAGTGTGAAAATTTGGAGAACACTTAGTTTTTGAAGATATTTTTTTGCTTTTTTTGTGTAGCGCATTCTCTGAAATTAGTGTAAAGACCTGATTCTGTAATGTACAATGATATTCCGTGCTTGTATGTATTCTGTATTAACATATTTAGGATAGTATAAAAACAAATGATAATGATAGGCCCTTTCAGTAATGTTCCCATGAAGTTCAAGGTTGTCATTGGAAGGAAACTCTTGTGTCCTATCCCTGTGGCCACTGTAGGTGCTTAATTACTTTCATCTACTTTGGTTTTCAGTCCTTTCTGATTCCTTCTTCATGTTCCATTTTTCTAACCATAAAAATTAGAAGAAACTTACCAATTATAAAAAGTAGTGTTTAGTCACTTAAGAAGAAAAAAGCTGTCATTTTTACTAACATTATGTAAATTATATATTTCTTTCTTAACACTTTTCAGGCGCTGTTTTGAATTTTTAGATTTGCTTTTACAAGAGTGGCAGACACATTCACTGGAACGGTGAGCATCTAACTTGAAATTGTTTTTTCCTCTGAACTGAACTGAGAGTGTATGCCTCAATGAGTGTTCCAACTTGCTTTCTATAAGAAATGAAGGAATCTAAGCATTTGTTTGCATGACTGCCTCTGATATTTGACTGATGTAAGCCACATAATATTGGTGGAAGCTTTTAATGAATTTTGTTGGTTGAAATACTAGTTTGCCCAGAGATGTGGGCACATGTGCACTTGGACAACTACAAAGCTGGGACTAACTCTATTGATTCTGACCCTGCTGCCTAATGTTCCAGTTCATTCCAATGAGGTGAATGTTTAAAGCTGCTCTTAGTGGGAAAGATGTAACTCTTAGATCCTTAAAGGACTTTCACTCATTCGAAAGTTTTCAGACAGGTGTGGTAGCTCACACCTGTAATCCTAGCACTCTGGGAAGCCAAGACAGGAGGATTGCTTGGTCTCAGGAGTTCAAGACCAGCCTGAGCAAGAAAAAGACCCCATCTCTACTAAAAATAGAAAAAAATTAGCTGGGCAACTAAAAATAGAAAAAATTAGCCAGGTGTGGTGGTATGCACCTGTAGTCCCAGCTACTTGGGAAGCTGAGGCAGGAGGATTGCCTCTGAGCCCAAGAGTTTGAGGTTGCTGTGAGCTAAGGTGATGCCATGGTACTGTAGCCCAGGCAACAGAGCGAGACTCTGTCAGTCAGTCAATCAATAAAATAAATGAACAATTAAAAAAAAAGAAAGCTTTCTTTTTTCTCCCTCTGTATTTAGTGTAGATATCCTACTTAATACTAATATGATTATCTCATAATTTTTATAGAAACTCGTTCTTACTATGGAAAAACAGGGTTTTGTTGTTTAGGTTCATAAAAGATTGGGCTAAATAAGCATGATGGGGGTGGGGGGGTGGAAATCAGCTGTTATTTTAAAAAGTCCACCAAGAGAGTAGGTTATCAGGGTCTTTAGGTGAGGGTGGGTTGGGGATAGGCTAGGGTCATGGCACAGGATTGGAAGTTAAGGACCTGCTTGAGGGTTCTGCTGTGCCCAGCTGCCTATTAATTGTCCAGCCTTGGCACCAAGGCTCTTAAGTTCCACATTGCCATTTTGAAGTTATTTCTCACATGTGATTTCGTCTGCATAAAACCATACATTTATGATTGTTACTCTTTTTTTTGTGCAAATATCTAGACACATATCAGTATTAGCTGAAACAATAAAGAAGGGAATACATGATGCCGATTCCGAAGCAAGGATAGAAGCCAGAAAGTAAGTTTTTATTGCACACCACTTTTTTTCATTAACTACTTTTCTATTTTACATGCATTGTAGGGACTGACTTATTTAAAACCCATTAAGTTAATTGAACATATTTTGTTAATCATGACTTTTAAATATGACCCCAAAAGGCCATGCAATATTTCTCTGTTTTTTTGTTTAGAAGGTTGACTGAGTGATACTATCTGAATATAAACAGGACTAAGGTAGACAAGAGAATGTTCACTTTTAAATTTATGAGAAATTATCACATAGATCAGAAATGACTTGTATGCGTACTCAAAGTTGTATTTATTTATTTATTTACTAATTAAACACTGTTAAAAGCTATGTCATAATCCAGAGCTACTTTGTAGATTTATCGTGTAAAACCACAGCTACAGTGGATTCTCTCCCTGTATTCTCATCTTTGCAAGCATCAGGTGGTCGTTTGGTGAGTGTGAATCACAGTAAGGGGAGTTGGATTGTCACAGTGATAACTTGCTATTTCTGTCTCGCAATTGAGGTGCTTTTGCCATTAGGACTGGGTGTGTTCCAGTCATGTGGCCATGGCCCCTATATCAGTACCCACCTCTCTGGGAATAATCTTGCCACTGCCATTGTAAATACTAGAAGTTTCTTATTAAGACTTAGTGTCTCTTGGACAGTGTATAGGTAACTACTGCCAGTTTTGCATCTGTGGCTGTTTTTTCTATATTCTTATATTTGACCAACTCTTCTAATTGACACAAGCTAAAATCTAATCTTACTAGCCTGCAACATCATGGTTTTCCTTAGCTGTATTAATACATCCTGATCCAACACTTAATTGCTCTCCGACTGCTCTCACAGTTAAGTTATATTTCTCTGAAACCAAGTTTCTGAGGTTTTTATAACTCTGAAGCATTTGCCACAATTTCATCTTGGGTAGTTCTTACCAAAATAGGTAACATAATTAATAGCTGCTAAAAGCTATTTAGGAATGAATTTATTAATGATCTACTTAGGTTGTTTTTATCCTTGTATCCCCTCATTTTTCCTAGTTCTTTAATCGTAATATAGATTTCAAGTAGCTCTGAATATTTTTCATTTTTCTTTTGTACATACTACCTAAGGCAATTAAAATACTTCAGATCACGGAATGTTAAATTGCATTTATAAAAGCTACACATTAATGCATCCATCCTGTGTTCTAGGTATAGTTCTGGATGTTTTAGCTTCATCTTCCCTAAGCCTCCCCAGTCTTGTAAGTTAGGCCCTTTAATTCCCATTTTATAAATGAGGATAAGGTTCAAAGAAGTTGAGTAACTTGGCCAATGTGAAAAGCCAGTAAGTTGTGAGGCCAGGATTCACACTGGGCCTCCTTTGTTCACCTTCTCCTCCTTGTACCATGCTGCAACTATTAGCAGGTAAACATGTACTTCTCAGATGTTACACAGTGTACTCCAGAGCTTAGCGAGGGACCTGTTAAGATCCTCGGACTAGACCAGGAATTTGTCTGTTTTCCCTAGATGTTATTGGGGTTTCCACAGTCACTTCAGCAGAGAAGCAGAGCATTTGTACCACACCTTGGAGTCGTCCTACCAGAAAGCCCTGCAGTCCCATCTGAAGAACTCAGACAGCATAGTGTCTCTGCCTCAGTCCGACCGCTCGTCTTCTAGCTCCCAAGAGAGTCTGAAGTAAGGAATTCAGCTTCGCTTGTCATTAGTGTGAGAATTTGTGTTTAAAAGTTTGTCACCTGGAAACACAAATTACAGCTATGTTTGTATATGAACATGCCTGTTAAAATTCCCCCTTCAGGTAGATTCGATTCTAGTAATAGAAGATACCATGGAGAATGGTAAGATATAGCTGGCCTTGGTCTCTGCCACAGCGTTTGTCAGTTAAATTTATATGTCAGTCGTAGAATACAGTTTTAGAATAACGTAAGTGAATTATGGAGTAGTATGAACTATACACACCACTGCTTCCTAGAGTCTTCTAAGAGGACGTAAGCGTGAACCTGGAGGCAAGTTTGGAAATGGAGGGCATTCAAAACCTAGGACTTAATATGTCATTGTCTTCACTCTGTATTTCTACTTTCTGTCTCAGTTACCATTTTTTGCTCTATGATTTAAAAGTAGTCCAAAATATATTGCTAAAGCTTTGTTGGAAATGAGAGTTTATAAAATTGTGTTTCATATTGTCTGACAAATTCTGAAAACTCTGAAATAATTTTTCATTGTCATAATTTTCCGTTGTGGTTTGTACTTGTATTAATGTCCATAAAGTACCCATTTGCTAACAAACACACGTATACCTTTATTTTTAGTCGGCCGCTCTCTGCCAAAAGAAGTCCTACCGGAAGTACCACATCTAGAGGTAAGACTAACAGCTGCTGAGAAGGCAGCCCGTGGGAGGCCTGTCTCAGCCTCTGTGCCCTCAGCTCCTTCTCAGGCTTGAAGGGTGTGTCGACTCTGCGTCTCCTCAGCAGAGCTCCACTTTGCTAGGGCCAGTCGCCACTGAGGACAACGTTGTCAGGGTGACTTAGGCAGACAGGAATGAAGCTCTGTGGCCTTTGTTCCCCACCTCCCTCCAGCATGTCGATACTGCCACAAATTATGCTGCTCCTTTCTCTGATCCCTTCCTCGGTAAGAGAGTAAAGATGGCTTGTGATGTTTTGAGTGGCAACAGCAGCTTGGTGGCTGTTAGAGGAGGGAGAGTAGCGTGTTCTCTGAAAGGGGGAGGGCCCCGGTAAGAGTGCACTGCACAGTTACGTCACCTCATGAGGGGACTGGCCAGACAGCCACATTTTTTTGTTATTTCACTTCTCATAATGACCGGAAGTTTGGTCCATTTCTTTTGGGTTTATTGTCTTTGATTATATGAAAAAAAATCGTAATGGATACGTTACAGTTGAGGTCACTTTTAGTTTTCTTCAGCATTGCCTAAACTCTGTCTTCAGTGACCAGGAGAAACTGTTAGTCAGTCTTGTGTGCTCCAGCATTTGTTAAAACTTGATACTTGTTTTCAAGAAAAGCAAAACAATATCAGGTTTTAACAATATGTGTTTAAAATTCTATGTAATCCTTACTAATGTTTCCTCCTTCACTGCTGAAGCTTCCACAGTTAGTACCAAATCTGTGTCAACAACTGGGTCCCTCCAGCGGTCTCGAAGTGATATTGACGTGAATGCAGCAGCCAGTGCCAAATCCAAAGTCTCCTCGTCTTCAGGCGGGACGCCTTTCAGCTCTGCCGCAGCTTTGCCTCCAGGGTCGTATGCATCCTTAGGTAACCGTAACCCGCATCACCTTTTCCCTCCTCTTCTGCTGTTGGAGATAACTCGTACCTCTTAGCAAACTACAAAAACCCATAATTGAAGAAATCCTCACTGTTGCAAGGCTGATATTTAAGTATGAATAATTTTGTGCACTTATTGCTGGTTAACAGCCACCTTTTTTGAATGATCCTTTTCTCTGGACCATCATCCTTTTTAGTGATGAGTAAGTACACTCGTGCTCATAGGGGGTATGGCACTGAGCGCGTCCTTCCCCCAGCTCACTCCCTCCTCCTTGGTGGCCAGCCCAGCCCGTACCTAAGCTATCTCCCGTATTACAAAAGCTGGTTTTTTTCCCTTCCTGACACTGGTGGAAGCATAGCCAGAAGGGTTCAGTGAGGGATTCACCAAAGATGGTCATTGTCGTTAGGTGTTTCTCAATTTGAGAATATAACTAGAGTGGAGGGGGCTGGAGTTGGGGGTGGCAGAGGGATGCCAGGAGGACTCTACAGGAATATGACGGGTCCTTAGCCAACATAACCACATCTGTACAAAAGAGTGTTGTCTTTCCATGTGTCATCTTGGGAGGATCATGCTCTTACTCTAATGATTGCCCAAAAGAGTTTTTTAAAAATTATTTTTGAAAATTTTAATACCTGACATAGTAGTAGATCAGTTACTCATTTTTTCAGCAGACACTTAACACCTACTGTGTGTGAGGCTGATAGTTTAGTCATTCAAAGCCAAAATCTAGGGACTTAACTGAGTTGTTTCTCTTTTGGATTTTAAGAAGTTGAATAAAATTTAAACTTCATGAAATACTGAAATTAAGTTACTTGTGTGGCTTACAGATGAATTCCAGAGTCAGTTCTAAAAGTAACATTCTAAAACTGGGCATTGGAAGCACTGTTGAGTGAACAGCACTGCGCTGTGATGATTCCTGGGTCTGCCGTTCGTTAGCCCTGTGACCTTGAACAGACCATGGAATCTTTTAGTCTCTTTTCTTTACCCATAAACTGCTTGTGATAATAGTTACCTAGGCCAGGCGCGGTGGCTCACGCCTGTAATCCTAATACTCTGGGAGGTTGAGGTAGGAGGATTGCTTGAGGTCAGGAGTTTGAGAACAGCCGCAGCAAGAGCAAGACCCCTGTCTCTACTAAAAATAGAAAAATTAGCTGGGCGTGGTGGTGTGCACCTGTAATCTCAGCTACTGGGGAGACTGAGGCAGGAGAATCCCTTGAGCCCAGGAGATCGAGGTTGCTGTGAGCTAGACTGACGCCATGGCACTCTAGCCCAGGTGATAGGGTGAGACTCTATCTCAAAAAAAAAAAAATATCCACCTAAACGGAATTATGTAAAGCTTCTTTATAAAATGTTGTCCTGTAAAGTGGAAGAAAGTGTGATTGTGATGGGAACATTATTAATATGAAAGATATATGTACTAGAACATTTGCTGCATCAGTTTTGTTTTCTCTTTGGAAGTACCTCATGCCCACATACATTTCAACTGGAAAGAAACTCAATAAGAACTCTTTATTGTTTTAACTATTGCATCATTATGTAGGAGTTATGATATGTTGCTGTGTAATCATTGAGCAATGGAGAAGTAATAACTGTTCCCTCCTATGGTGAATTAATTCTATTAATTTTAGTTCAATTTTTAAGTACTTACCTGTGTTCTAATACATTTGATCCACCTTTAGCATTTGCAATTAGTATTTTTTTCATTGCTGGAAAATGTCAATAAAAACCAGCCTTTAGAGTACTTAGTATTCTTAACATTTCTGTGCATATTTTGGGTGTTTGAATATGGACCATGTGGATTTCCCCCAGTGCTGGTCAGAGCCACCAGGTCTTTGGTGTGATGACGTAGAAATGACCCTTAAGAAGCACTGATAAGTTTTCTGCCCAGTATTACCTCTTCAAAGAGCAAGACTGGAGTATTCAGATTCTCTTACCATTTCCTGAGAATTCTACCTCCACTTATTATGTCCCAAAACAAAACAAAGTAAAAAAACACCAAAAAATCTGAAATATATCATAATCCTACCGAGAATTTGTCATAATTACTGCTGAGGTTGACATATGACATCTTTGCAAAAGTGTAGCATTAAAGCTGATGATCCTTTTCCAAACTTCTAGAGTCCAGACACATGAGGGAAGACATGGAGTACGTAGGCCTGGACTCAGGTACCATGCGACACAGCTTCTGCTGCTGGGCGTGTAGTTGGGATAGGCATTGCTGGAGCTAGCTTCTGTGAGCTTCTTACTTGCCTCTGCCCTTTGGGTAACTCTTTAGTATTTTAATTTCTGATGCCTCCCCTGCCCCCTTCTGCTAGTACTTTCTTCCAGGAAAAAGGAATTCTTAACAGGATAAGGGGTGGCTAAAACAAAAAACAAAAATCACACTTTCAACTGTGGCATTACCCTGGGTTGCCCTTCTGTGTTTTGTTTTCCAAAGGCAAAAACACGTTATGCTGTGCTAGGCTAATTTCAGCATAAGGCGCTCTCACTTGCTTCAGACTCTGCTCTGCTGTTGAACTTGTTTCCCGTTTAATTTTGTTTTAAACTGTACTTTTGCTTTTTTAGTAGCTAATAACATTCTGCTTTTTAATTTTTTGAATGTTACTAACTGTTCCCTGTTATCCCTTCCCTTGTTTTTTAATTTGCTTAAAGATGGTACTACCACTAAAGCGGAGGGTAAGCGGTTTGTTTCTGTGATTGAGGTGTGTCTCACTTTCTCCGGTCCTCTGTTCTCACCGAGTGCTGCCCGGTGCCCCCTTGTCCTCACCAAGGCCCCTGCATGTGCTGTTGCACGCCGTTCCCCCTCCTCTCGTCCACATTCTGTCTGATCTTTGCCCTGCCTCTACCTGTGTTCTCCTCTCCCTTTCTTGTTCTGTCTTTGTTCTTGTGAACGTTGGCACTGAAGTATGCTGTGTGGTTTTCAGCGCCGAGCCCACGCTCTGGGGAGGAGCACTGACGTCGCGTTGTGTGCTACTGTCCTCACGGACTGCTTGTCTCGGGTTTTATTGCTCCCGAAGCACCACCTTAGCTTTTGTTTCCTTTTCTTTCGTTTTGTGCTTTTGTGGGCCTCTCAGGATTTGCCTTTCTTATTTCGAAAATAAATTTCAATGTCAATTATTCAGATTAAAGGCTGGTAAAGGTTTTCTACCAGGTAATTTAAAGAAATTTAAAAAATACGTTTCTCTCCCCTAAAGGTACTACTGAATTATACGATGCCATTTTTTATTTGTCTCACTGACACATGCCCCATTCGTTCATTTACTGTCATTCATCCACTCATCAACCATGAATTAAATGCCTTCTGTGTGCCATGTTCTATACTACACACCAAGGATATAGCAATGATGAAAGAAATAAACATAGCCAACTTCACGTTATTTTCTTTTTATGCCATTCCAAAGAAACTCTTTCTGATTTTGTATTACCTTTTGAATTTTAGACTTAGCTATTCCAGTCTGTACAGGTCTTTGATTAGTACATTTTAGACAGTATCATTTCTTTGGCAAGTCTCTACATAGAAAGCAGCATGATAATGCTTCAAGTAATTGGAATTTAGAGGAACCTTCTCTGCTTAAGATAGTGACTTAGACCACCAACCCTCAGGATAATTACTTAAAAATTAGGAATAGCTAGCTTTTATTTTTATGTTATTTAGCAACCCCAAAGGGCTAGCATGCGAAGTGGGCTAGGTTTTAGCTTGATATGTGCAGTTCAGTAATCCACATATTAATATTATTTCCTAAGGGACTCATAAAGGCAAAAACAGAAATGGTATTTTTTTAAGAAGAACATAGGCCCAAGATCAATGTTTCTTAAACTTATTATAAAAATTACCTATGTGCTTACTTAAAAAAGAAAAAAACAACAGCCCTAGGTCCTTCCCCTGAAGATACTGATTAATTTGGAAGGAGCCAGAAAATCTGAACTTCCAACAAGCCTCACTTGGTAATTCCTAGTGTTGGACAAGTTTGTGAAATGAAAAGTTTCCAAAATGAAAAGATGGACAAGAAACTTCTGTCCTGTTGAGGCCCTCGTTTGTGATAGCTGAAGGCTGAGGCTAGTGTAATTTCAAAGCTGGTTGATGGTTTTTTTCTTCTTATTTTTTTTTTATTTTTTAGCTGATAAGAGTAATTTTATATTTTTCCCTCCCAAAGAAACAATCCTAAGTGTTTCCTCAGCCTCACTGGAAGGGGAGTGGAGAAGTAGGAGAGAATAATGTAGATGAACTGGAAAGGAAATATGGAGGAAGTTATATTTTTTTTCCAGAATGCCTTGATTTCATATATAACAGAATTATTATCAGCCTGTTATTCTACCCAGCCCTGGGGATTTTAACTTTTTTTCTTTTTATGAGTTTCACAGCCCTAAGCAAGGTCAGAATTGCCCTCTCAGTGATTGTGCAAGAGACTAGCTCTCTTTTTGGTTCTCTTTCTGGTAGGAGAAGTGGTGGAATGACATATGGGCCCTTGTTTTTATAAAGAGCATGGACACTTACAATAGAGAATTTTGCACAGTGAGATGCCCCAAAGAAAAAATTTTTTTTCTAGAGTGGCAGTGTGTTAAACCCAGCGCACAGGTTTAATTTCCCATTTGTGACGGAAAAAGAACTTTAGCAGCAGTATTAAAAAGCTATGGGATGTGAATATTCTTTTACTCCATGCAAATCGAACGCTTTGCACTCCTCTTGTAATTCTTTGTTCTCCTCTGGGTCTGCTTTTCTCTGGGCAGGTTTGTTTGTTTGTTAGTTAGCGTGTCTCTTGTTTGTTCCTCCCTCCAGAATTTTTTTGTTGTGCAGTTCTCTATCTCTTAATTTTTTTTCTTTTACTCATGCTGACTTTTTTTCTTCTTTCACATCTATTTTCTTTCTGTCTCTGTCACTTAATAGATCATAATATAGAGCTGAAGTATATTTTTACTGTTTGTTACATTTATCAAGACTTTGTTTTTCCTGAAGACCACAGAGCATTTTATATCATCTTTTAAAAACATATACAGGTACTTTTAGTAATATTGCCAAATTGGTAGACTGGAAACAAAATGAAACAAACACCATCTCTCTCTATAAAATAAATATTAATATATATCTGAGCATAACACAACTGAGGCCCTTCTAACTACCCAGCTGTGTTCCCAGAAAATTAAGGATAAAGTTCAGAACCAGCTAGAAGACCAAAAACTGTGGTAACAAGCTTGAACTAATTTCTAAGGCTGCCCTGAGGGCTTAGTTATTAATGTGAGTCACTAGTGCAAACAGAAAACAAGATGTTGAGCTTAGCCAAGGTGAAAGTGAATGCATTAAGCCAGCAGTGTCAAAGGGCTGTTTATCTGTGAAACGGTGGATTAGTGGGGGGAGGGGAGTTTTTATCTTCAAATTGACAAGGTATCCATCTATCTTGACTTTGTCCTGGACAGAGGAAAAAAAATGATCTTCCCTAACAATTTGTAATTAAGCTCTCTACTCACACAGGTTGTGGTTTCAAATTTACATTACCTGTGGTGCCTGGAAAACTCCAAGCTGATGAATTAAATGGAAGTGATCTGTGTTTATAGCCCCCAAGGGTGCCTGATAGGAACAAACATTGAACTTTCATTGAGGAAGCTACTCTCAATTCTGTTTCTCAGGATTCCTGTGCATTAAAATCAGCCAAATATGAGCTCATAGCCCCAAATTACATGCATCATAAGTGAGAAGCAGGAGAGAAAGAGAATAAATACAGAATGTGCACTTAGGGACTTAAAGATCTGTGTAGACTATAAAATAACTTTATTTAAAGTGTTTAAAAGGAATAAGAAACTTGCATTTTTTAGCAATATATAGAATTTAGTAGCCAGAGTGATCCTCCTAATTGAGAATACATCAGTGATATGGAATAAAAGCAATGAACCCACACAGCTCCAAACCTAAGCCTGGCAGGAGCCCTAGTAGGTGAGGGCCAAACCTGACTTTCATCCGAGGTTTTTGGCTAAACCCTGGAGTCCTTGGGCATTTGCTGTGATGACTGTGCAGAACATAAAGGCCAGTAAGTAAACCCGAACCCATCTAAGACCCACATCGCCACTGGCGAACAAGAAGTGAACTTTACTAACCTGAAAAGGACAACGGGGAAATTTGCCCGTCTTAACCTTGGTGCTGGTTAGAGGAAGGAGTAATCTCCCCAGAGAATTTTCAGCCATAAGGTGGGCCTTCACGCAGGATGCTGTCAAAATTCACACTGCCATTCTGATCTGAAAAACCCAAATAGATAAATTATTTTAAATTGGCTATGGATTACTTGTGGCCACAGGACACAAGCAGAAGCAAACACAGATCCTCTTTGGGAGGAATTCAATCTAGATCTTAAAGGACTCCCATAAAGTTCCAAGAAAAGCGGTCACTTCATTATCTTACTATTTAAAGAAATTCTGGGCTGTGTGCGGTGGCTGACACCTGTAATTCGAGCACTCTGAGAGGCCGAAGCGGGAGGATTGCTTAAGCTCAGGAGTTCAAGACCAGCCTGACCAAGAGTGAGACACCCCGTCTCTACTAAAAATAGAAAAATTAACTGGGCGTCATGGTGTGCACTTGTAGTCCCAGCTACTCGGGAGGCTGAGGCAGGAGAATCACTTGAGCCTAGGAGTTTGAGGTTGCTGTGAGCTAGGCTGACGCCACGGCACTCTACCCAGGGCAACAGAGTGAGACTCCGTCCCAAAATTTTTTTTGGAAATGAAGAGACTATTAAGATTAGCCGGGCACAGTGGCTCATGCCTATAGTCCTAGTGCTTTGGAAGGCTGAGGTCGGAGGATCACTTGAAGCCAAGAATTCAGGACCAGCCAGGGCACATCCTGTCTCTACAAAAAATAGAAAAACTATTAGCTGGGTGTAGTGGTGTATGCTCTAGTTCTAGCTACTCCAGAGGCTGAGAAGGGAGAATAGCTTGAGCCAAGAGTTTGAGGTACAGTGAGCTATGATTGTGCCACTGTACTCCAGCCTGGGCAACAGAGGAAGACCTTGTCTTTAAAAAAAAAAAATTAAAAAGAATGACCAAGCACCCATAACTACGTACAACTATTATGTACCTGTGATAATTAAAAATAAAAGAAAAATTTGTAAAGAGCAACCAAGCAGGTTTTGAAAAAGAAAAAAATGCAACTTCTATAAATAAAAATATAAATTATTAAAATGTAC